AAATGTTACAATATTGCTGATATTGATAAAGTCAGAATTAATATTTATGATGACATTGTCAGAACAATATGTGATGTAAGACATATTCCAGATTTGAAGAACAATTTAATTTCCTTAGGAACTTTACATAGAAATTATTTTATTCCTAAGGCAGATAGGGATAGACAAACCATCAGAATTGTTAAAGGTGCATTGACTGTGATGAAAGGAAAGATCACTGCAGGTAATATCTATAAACTGTTGGGAATTACAGTTGTAGATGAAGTTCACTCTGTTGAATCATATGATGAAATTGCAACAGATATGTTGACCAAGTCAGATATTATCAACAAGTTCTTGCATTGCTTGAACTTGTTGAATGTTGCAATTGTTAGACGACATGGTTGCCCAACCCACTTCAGTGTAAGAAACTCCATTAAGTATTTCATTTAAGGAGTTGAATATTTGCCAAGCTGGAGATTTGTTAAATATATGTATTTCTTCTAAGGGGCTGAATATTCGCCAAGGTGGAGATGTGTTAGGCATATGTATTTCTCCTAAGGGGTTGGATATTAGCCAATGTGAAATTTGTTAGGTATGGCTCATATACCAGAATTTGATGTCTCTTGGAATTGAAGAGGTGTGTCTCCTGGAATGAAGAGAGTGTCTCTTGGAATTGAAGAGGTGTCTCTTGAAATTTAGTGAGTTGGGGGGAGCGAGGGCGTGTTAGTAATTTTATTTGTGGGTTTTATCTATATATATGATGTGTAACCCTATAGGTATGTACTTGACTCCTCTGAAATAGTGAAATTCGCCGCTCTGCTCCCGAGGACGTAAGCATCTTTGTCAAACCTCGTTAAATCTTTGTGTTCTTTTGGTTTTATGTCGATTTCTATTTTTTTTCGTCCTAATTTCTCAACACACACACACACACATTTGAAATGAGGTACAAGAAGTACAATTATCTGTTTGCCCCTATTTAAGTAGAGGCACTATAAATAAACATTTAAATACTCAAGTGAATATATAAATAAGACTTCAGCTCGGTTCTTCCCACCGATCAGCCGTAAATGGCGGGTACTCCTTGGACCGACAAGGCCCGCTTGGCAGACTCTGTTTTTTTCTGGTGGGTGGTCGACTGAAGCTATCTACCGGTCAGCGGAATCCTTGCCCAGTCGGCCTCATTGATCGATTGGCTTTTTTGGTATGTCAATCTACTTTTGGATCCTACTCTGAGGGAACTGAGGAGATGGATCTTTTCGGCTTAGTGTTGTGTAATTTGATCTTTAGTGGGTTCTCTTTGATCACGCCGCTTTTGGTATGTTAGATTTCATCAAGATTCGTGCCAACATTTTTTTGGCATACACATACTCGCATGGCTAATGCTTGTGATGTAGAAAACATGAAGAGTAGGCTTATGGTAACGGGTAATACTTTGGTATATTTAGAAGAATGAAATCAAAATTATTATGAAATTTTAATGCATGTTCTGTTCAACAGTTCACATGAAATAGTACTATTTCAATGTCTGAACATAATTCTTCTATGAAAATGATATATTTTGTTTATGAAATATCGATGCAGCTAAGATAGAAATGAGACCGCCATTAATTGGAAGAGATTCTCAGTTCAAGTCGAAAATTTTGGCAAACACCAAGCTAAATAAGATTCGATAAATGGGATATAAAATGCAAATCAGTTGAGGTACTTTCACAAACACCTTAAGCTCATGCTACATGTAAAACTCACTCACCAAACAACAATAATAAATCTGTACACGAGATATGCACACTTCAAGAATCCTGTTCTTCACCGCCCTTACTTTCCTCTTTTCCAGCGGCCAAAATAAAAAACGAACCATTCCAACTCCTCTGATTCCAAACCATCCTCGCGATAAGGATCCATGAGTTCTTCCTCGTCGGAAGAAGAAGAGTCGGATTCGGATTCCAACTCCTTCGACGCGGCTTGGGGAAGTGGGGGGGAGTGGGGAGAGGGGGGAGCCACGACTGGTATGCGAAGGCAGCGGATGAAGATGCCGGACAACGAAGCGCCGGCCACCTTAGGGGTTGATGCAAAAGCAAGTCTTGGTAGGTACGTCAAGGCCATCAATGTGGCTCCGGGCATGTCCTCGAAATAATATTGGGGTGATTTACATTAGCAGCTCTCAAACCTTATGAGTGATCCGATTTGGCAACACAAATCTCAATGCAGGGGCAAGCGAGGTGGGTCCTCAGCCAAAATGAGTCACCGAATAGTGAACCAACTAACAGGAGCCGAACGAAAGATATGCTTTCCTTCACTAAAAGTTCTTGATGGGACCGTCTTCTATTGTCCATCAACCCTCTGATCTACTCGAGTATCAGATCCATTATTAGAGACTTTTTGAGGACACTGTGCTATCTTATGGCTAAGCTGACCACACCTAAAACAATGCCCAAAAATAATTAACATTGACTGTGATGCTAAGTACAAACTGGAGCACTACTCACTGAGATAGACAAATCGCTACTCCAAAAAGCTGTAGAACCTCTTCAAGAGTCTTTGACCCAATTCGACTCTTCTTCCCACTGCCACTACTTCTAAAAGACTCTCCTCCGAATCTTTTCTGACTCACATTCATATGTTCCATAGTAGACCTTAGATCATTTTCTATCAATCTTACCATTTCCACTAACTCAGAGAAATCTTTAATCTTGAATGGAAAAAGTCGGTGCCTTAAGTTATCTCTGGGTCCTCTAAAAAATATATAACACTTCTCTAGTGGAGTACTGACTATTGGTAGAGCATATCTTGCTAATGTAGTAAATTCAACCTCATACTGTATTGTCGTCTTATTCCCTTGAACCAATCTCAGAAAATTCTCCTACATCTGTTTTCTGGATCATGGAGGTACAAACTAGTCTCTTAAAAGTATCAATAAATCACTCTCAAATAATCTCAGCATTTAGCCTGCCTTGAAACTTCTCGCTCTGTTGGCCTAGCTATCAATGATCAGCTTCATCCTCAAGTAAAAACACTATAAGGAACACTTTACGATTCGCTCGCCACCATCCGCCAACCACCATTTACCACCATCCGCCGGCCACCGCGGGCCAACCTTGACTGGTTGCAATGAAACCCCTTGAAAAATCTAATGAGAAACCTTCCATTTTTCTACTTATGAGTTCATAAAAATAGAAAAAAAAAATACTGAACAATAAAATCAAGAGTGCTCTATAAATTGGTGAAGAAGATTAGTGAACTTGGTATGAGATAAAATTAGACAAACTATTTGAATATAATAATATTAATTTAAATGAGTCAAAATTTGTCAAAATCAAAACTATGAAAAATCAGTGAATAAATATGGTATAAAATCAATTATAAAAACTAAAAGAAATTAATAAATATTAAATAAATATGTAAAACTTATCATATCTCAAAATCAATTTATAATGGCCGCCTCCAAATACTATATGTGACAACGCGGGCCAGGATAATCACACATAACTTATGATTTTGAGATCGAGGATTGTGAGAACATCAGTTCGAGAGAGCCAACCCATTTTATACCATAACCTTACCAACAATAACGCATGCAAAATAAGAAATTTCAGGCATGCAACAATAATGCATGCAGGAGAAACGAGAGAGCAAGACATCATGAAATTTAACTAGATTGTTAGAAAATATGAGTTAAGAGCAATAAGTTGAATGCGTTCTCCGATCCTTTATTTATAACCTTCAGTGACATACTACTCTACACAGATAACTGCAATACATGAGCATTACATGTAAGAATTAAATATCAAGAGTTAATCCATATATTTTTTCATAAAATGAATGCGACTTGTCGCAAAAAATACATAAAGAGTATGTGTTGATTTTTTTATGGAGGCCAAAGTTTGTGTGAAGTTGTTTGCCGAGTGCGGGCAATGTGTTTGGATACTTGGCTAACCATGAATAATCAATTCTTAGATTGGGTGCATTATAATAGGCCCATACTTTTGACTATCTTTTTAATCTGATTGATTAACCTTAAAGATGTTTTACTGGAGGAGAAATTATTACGTCTGGTGTCTGTAGGCCCAGATACTGGAGATGATCTGATGACACGAAATGCATAGAGACCTCATTAGGTCATCGTTGTTGTTCTAATGTGTTGTTCTCTAGATATAATAATTGTCCCTATTAGAGGGCCTTTTGGTTTGTTGCATTATTATGATAAAGGCAAAAGGAATGTAAGATTTTAAGAAAAAAAATCTGACACTTAGGGTCTGCTTGGGGCAGATGTAACTGTTTGAAGAAGCAGTTGTGAAGCTGCTGCAGAAGAAATATTTTTTCAAAAAAAGTACGATGACTATTACTGATTTAATTTATTTTCAAAAAGTCACACATCAATTTTCTGAGAAATACCACATTTTAACAAATTAGGTTGAAAAAAAAAATTTTTTTTATCACAAAAACTTCTAAACAATAATAAAAAAGTAGTTTTCTAAACAAAATTTTTGTGACTGTCTGAAAAACAAAGTTGTCCCAAACTTTAGTTAGATTAGAAAACAAATGTACTCCCTTTAATTCAATTTTTTTTAAATTTAACGCTCTACCGATTTGATTGGTTTAAAAACACTATGCACAAGTTGTCGCCCCTCGTTGTCGACCACACTTAGTGGCCGACCATCAGTCACTGTCACTAGTTACCAACCATTGTCATCAAACCAGTCCCAGCCACCAGTCACCAGTCACCAGCCATTGCCGTCAAGCCGCCGCCAACCTCAGGTCTCACTGTCCCCAACCAACAATTTGCTTTAAATTCATTCAAATTTAATCCAAAAATTTAAAAATAATATTTTTTTTTCTTTTAGTGATTTAAAAAAATTATATCATGAGCATGGGACCAAGTAATACAGAAAAATGATTCATTTCTGTTGTTTACATATTTTAAAGAATGCACCATGCTACCTGCACTCCGCCAACGAATTGTCTAGCTGGGCAAACCTCCCATTATAATTTAGCGTAATTTAAGATTGTCATGCGATTTTTTCTCAACTGATCCTTTAGCCCATTTCGATCTACGCAAGCTCTTACGTTTTTAGTCCCTGTTTCTTGCTACGCAAGGCAGCAACACGAAGCAAGACGACGCTTCTCCATTGTTGCCAGCGACTCTCCTTCATATCTGAGTCTTCGCCGGCCGGCGCTCGGCTCTCAAGTTCCCCTTCGAGCTCCTCGAGCTCGGCTAGGTTTTGCTGCATCACTTTTCTTCTTGGCTAGAGAAACATGGCTGATAGATTGACTAGGATCGCCATTGTCAATTCCGATCGCTGCAAACCGAATAAATGCCGCCAGGATTGCAGGAAGAGCTGTCCTGTCGTGAAAACAGGTACTGACGATCTTACCTGTACTGATTCAAGGGGAAATGTATGCTTCTCTGTTCTTATCGTAGGAACTAGCATTAGCTGTTGAGTAAAATTGTTTGATTGTTTTCTTTGGATGAAAAGTTCTGCTAGAAGTTGGTGCTGTTTTAGGATATTAGGTTTGTGGTCATTCTAGTAGACTAATATTGTGCTACTTGAGCAGTAGCTGCTGCAAATCTCTCAAACTGATTTAAGGGATGAATTTGGTGAGATTTTTTGCCAAAATATTCTGTTTTGAACGTGCTTTTGTTTCTAGTAGCTGATAATGTAATTTTCTTTTATTTGTTTTGTGGCCGTAGAAGATATTTGAGCTTTCACCTACTCTTTTTATTTGGAAGATGTACATACATACCTGAGTATTTACATATCTAACACCTAAGCATTCATTTTTACATATATGTCACATTAGCTCTGCATGAAAATGTGTATTTCACCTTTTAAGAATTAAAATAGTGGTGTTTTTGATGTGATATGAAAGATTTGGGTGATATAAACATAAAAAAAATAAAATTTAGGTGCTAGATATGCAAATACATAGGAACTGGGTGGTATGCATGTAAATGCTTATATTGTTTACATAACTAAGTTTACTCTGCACTAGAAGGTGGTCTATGTTTGATTCATTGCAGTATATCCCGGTTTAGTTCATTTTCAGTCTCCATTAAATTGTGAACTTTCACTATTCCTAGTACTAATGCATGAACCTGTTGTTCACCTGATGAGTTATTTTCTCTGTAACAAATTTAGCTAGAAGATCATCCTTCTTTTTACTGTTTCTTTTCTTAATGTGTTGCTTATGCATCTTAAATTTGTGCTCAATAAGATATGTTTGCTTTTGCTTTCATATCCTGCTGGTTAGGGAAACTTTGCATAGAGGTCACGTCTACCTCAAAAATTGCTTTCATTTCTGAAGAACTATGCATTGGGTGTGGCATCTGTGTTAAGGTTCATCGGTTTGTTGTTTTAGTTGCTTTGTTTTATGAGAAAAGTGTCAAAATTGTCTTCTGAATTTTTTTCGGAGGTCATTTTAATCCCATAGTCCATAAAAATGTCAATTTAGTTCTTAGATTTTTTTTTAATGGGGGCTAAAATAATCCTCCGTTGGGGATATTTCAGTCTATATTAAAATAGTCTGGGGACTAATTTGATATTGTTATAAACTTTGGGACTAAAATGACCCCATATAAAAAGTTTGGGGGCTATTTTAGCACTTTACCCTTTGTTTTATATTTGTGAAAGGCTAGCATGATAGCTTAATATTTTATATGTGTCTCAGAAATGCCCTTTTGAGGCCATTCAAATTATTAATCTACCGAAGGATCTTGATAAAGATACAACGCATCGTTATGGGCCAAACACATTCAAGTTGCATAGGTAACAATATAAGAATGCTACTTATGTTCTGCTTTAGATCTATGCGGCAGAAGAAGAAATGATTTGCTCTCTTTTCAGGCTGCCGGTGCCAAGACGGGGACAAGTTTTGGGTCTTGTTGGAACAAATGGTATTGGAAAGTCTACTGCCCTGAAAATATTAGCTGGAAAGTTGAAGCCTAATTTGGGTCAATTTGATGTAATTTACACTATTTCATACTCATGTTTTATTGTCATAATTTCTTTTTCTCTATGAGTGTCTTATTCCGATAATATTTCTTTGCAGAATCCTCCAGATTGGCACAAAATCATAACTTATTTTCGTGGATCTGAGCTTCAGAATTATTTTACTCGTCTTTTGGAAGATAATTTAAAGGTGTGTATTTTATTTTGGCTGTGATTTTCCATTAATGAAGTGTTTTTAGTGTTTTTTTTTAATTTGTGAAGTTCTTTGTACAAATTATCTTTTATACGTAAAAAAACTCGAACAACTCAATCTTGAGGTCCTGTTATGATTTATAAGCTCTTTTGGTAATTGAAATGCAAGCATTTATGTTTTAAATTGTTATAATTCTGTAGATCGTTGTGAAGTAATGCCTTTGAGATTGAAGGTAACTATGAGGTTGTTTATCACATGGTGTTAGATATGGCTCATGTATCATAAAGGGGCAGATTCTGGAGCGGAGCGGGAGATTCTGTTTAAATCAGGGGAGTTTTCTTATGCGTGTTTGGGGTGAGGTACAGGGGAAATTTAGGATTTGTTTGGCGCAGCTGTTGATTATTCATAATCTGCTGATAAGCAGATTATTCTGATAATCTGATAATCTGCAGATTATCAGAGTAATCTGTCCTTGTCTGTCTTGCTGTTTGGGGCAGCTTATTCAAGATAGCTTATTGATGGTTAAATGATATTCATGCCCCTTTGTGATAAAACTGTTTGGGGCAACTTATTCAAAATAGCTTATTGTTAGTACTGGAGCATATGCAAAAACATAAGAAACATACGATAATCACAGATCCGTTCTAAAAGATACCATACAGTTCTCACACCCTCATGAGTACTAAGAGAACTAAAAAAAGTATAAATACAAGTACAACTACAATCATAAATATTAAAATGTTTAATTTCAGACTCTGGCTACGTCTGACCTCATCTGCACTGTCAAAGTGAGAAAACACCAGATTCCCATGACTGCTGGCCGTGTCATATGAGGGACTGTCAACCCACCGAAGAAGCCACAACCAGCTGAAACACCCTTGGCACAACCGTAGAACTGCCTCCCAAAGCTATGAGACTGACGCGATGTGAAGAGAACTGCCTCCCAAAGCTATGAGACTGACGCGATGTGAGCAACGGAGCCGGTAGATCACAATAACACAAAAAACCTCTGTCCTTACCTGATATCCTAGAAGTCATGTTCCTATAACTGTGAAAAAAAAAGATTGTTAGTACTTATCCATTAGTAATTATCCAAATAAGTACTTATCCAAATAAAAGTAAATTTAGGAACAGAGAAAAGACTTGCTGGATTAGCTATCATATATAACATCTGCTATAGACTCCCTCAGAGCAGCCATCTCAACTGCACCCTCACCGTCCTGAGTTTCATATTCAATCGAGTCCATCTCATTATCAGCTAGAGATCCTGAAGGTTCTAGAGTGTCAATAATTTCATCATTATCAGCCATATTGAAGTCTGTATCTGAATAAGAGGGGTGACATCAGATGAAATTGTGAAGTGTCATGATGGCCAACACAATATACACTTGTTTAGGAAATGAATAGGATGACATATCACGTAGAATTACCCATTTCTTCTTCCACACCCCAAAAGTTCTTTCAATAACCGCCCGTAAAGCGGAGTGTCGTTTGTTAAACATTTTTTTTCTGCTACGAATATTGTCACTTGCTCGCTCAAAATCAGAAATATGGTATCTTGTGTCTGGATATGGCTTCAGGTAGCCTCTTAACATCGGATATCCAACGTCTACCAAATAATACTTTCTTGTTATTAAAGACAATACTAATTAAAAATAATTAATTTAATTATCGAGAGGTTTTAAATAAGATGAACAAACCTGAAGGTGGGTGAGGGAAACACTGTGTTCTATTCATAGTTGCATATGAGAAAAGACGACTATCATGCGTACTTCCTTCCCACCCCGCCATTACAAATGTAAAGCACATGTTGAAGTCACACACTGCCATGACATTTTGGGTGGTTGTACCACTTCGACCAATATACACGATCCTCTCGTGACTTGGTAGTCTGACATCTACATGAGTGTCATCAATTGCTCCAATAGAATTCTGTTGATCATAGTTAACAACTGAAGAGGTCATTAAGCTAAAGTAACAAAGTAATAATACTTACTTTGAAATACGACATGTAACGAGAATCATTTGCAATTTGTTCAGGAAAATCTTCCCAAGCATTCTTGCATTCAATATTTTCCCATTATTGAAAGCATCATTTCCAAAGGAGAAGGATCTTCCTTATCATTTCAACCGCAATAAAAATGGTAAAAAATCTTAAGCATGAAAATTTGAACAAAGAAGAAGAATCTTATCTATTTCACAGTAAATCAAACATTCTGCAACAAAAAATTTCAATGTTTCATTTCTAACGACCATAGGAACATAAATTACTGTGAGATGATCGAATACGGCCTCCGGGAAGGAAGGAGACGGATATCGGGTAGGGCGAGAGTGTGAGATCAAAAAAATACCTCATATCGCGGATCACAGCCTCGTAAGTTTCGGGCGAGGTCGAGACTGAAATGACGAGACGGGAAGGGCAAGGGCAAGGGGGAGAGACGGGAAGGACAGCACGGGAAAAATAACCTAAAAGCGAAAAGCGTACGCGGAACGGAGCTCCTGGCCAGACTACACTTCCTTAAGGGAATCGCGATAAGAGAACGACGCTTTTTCAAAACGTCCCATACGAACGTGATTTTCAAACGAAAGAGCGGCGTTTTCAAAACGCCACCGCTTCCAATAATCGCTCTCAAACGGACCCTTAGTAATTACATATTGTACTCCAAGATTTTCTAGGGTTATAAATAAGATTGTATGTAACCTTAGGTGTTATCCCAAATTCTGTAAGCTCTTTTCTGAATATTAAAAGAAATTTACTGCTTTGCTCCCGAGTACTTGGACATCTTTGTCGTCGAACCTCGTTCAATCTTTGTGTTCTTTTGCATTTGTGTCGATTTCTATTTTTATTGCCCCTAATTTCTTAACAAGTAGTATCATAAATAAGTTCTAGTGAGCGAAGAAAAATTATGGTGGCACCGGAAGTAGTCAGCTAGGGCTTCTGGGGGAGTTCGGTGGTTTGCAGCGTTTTCGAGGTTCTGCAGGTTTGGCAGGAATTCGCGAAAGACAGAAGAGCCGACGCAGGAGTTCGCGAAGCCATTCGGGAGACGGAGGCTTTGCGGTTCGCGGGAGGCAGGCGGACCCGGGAAAGGGAATCGTGAACTTTGCGGGAGTACTGTTCGCGACTGGAAGTATCCCGCTCGGCGGATAGGGGCGAAATCAGACCGTTGCTAAAAATTGAGATCGGACCCTTGCTGAAAATTGGAATTGGAAGGTGGAGGCGGAAAACAGAAGGCGGTAAAACTTCCGATTTTATTCCTCTTCTACGGGATGGCGACTGATTTTATTTCTTTGTGGGAAAAATGAGTTATTTTCAAATAGCATTTTTTGGTGTAAAATTTGAGACGGTGAAGTTAGATGAAACTGATAACTTTGGATTGTGACAAACAAGAGTAAAAGATCTGTTGACTCAACACGAAATCTTGAAAGCTTTGCAGACAACAAAATCAGATGTCATGGAGAATGAAGATTTGCAACAATGAGCAACAACAACTATACGCCTATGCCTGACAGATGAGGTTATGTATCACGTGATGAATCTAAAATTTTCAGGGGAGGTATGAAAGAAATAAGAAACTCAGTTCATGGCTAAATCTCTGACGAATAAATTGTATCTGAAGCAAAAACTATCTGAGTTGAAGATGCTAGAAGGTTCTGATCTGGCGCAGCATATTAATGATTTCAATCAAATAATCACAGATTTATCACGGCTTGATGTGACTATTGATGATAAAGACCGAGCGATGATTTTGTTGTGTTCATTGTCTTCTTCCTATGAACATCTGGTGAATACTCTTACATATGAGAAATAAACTATCAAAGTTGATGAGATTACTGCAGCATTGTTAGCTCACAACCAGCAGAAGCAGAATGCAGGGGAAAACTGTTATGGCGACAATTTATATGTTAAGGGTAAACAAGATCGTGGAAGGAAGAAAGATAAGGAGGGTTCTAGAAGGCGAAATTCTAGATCCAAGGCCAAAGACAAAAAGACAATTCATTGCAATAATTGCAATGAGCCATGTCATATGATGAAAGATTGTCCAAAGCTGAAGAAGCAGATTTGGGAGAAAGGTAATGCATCATCGAAGTTTGTAAATGTGGGGTAGAGTGACAATTCAGATTGCAGTGATGGCGATATACTTTCAGTTTCATCAACTCAGTTCACAGATGCATGAATTCTTGATTCAGGATGCTCTTATCACATAACAACTAACAGGGAGTGGTTTACTTCATACAGGTCAACTAATTCTGGCTCAGTTTATCTAGGTGATGATAGATGCTGCAATATTGTTGGTATTGAAGAAGTCATAATTACGATGTATGATGACACAATTAAAACGTTATGTCATGTCAGACATATTTCAGATCTGAAGAAGAATTTGATTTTCTTGGACACTTTATATAGAAATGGTTTCATTCCCAAGACAAATGAGGATAGGGAAACCATCAGAATTGTTAAGGGTGCACTGACGGTGATGAAAAAAAAGTTAACTGCAGACAATATCTACAAACTGTTGGGGAGTACAGTTGTAGGTAAAGTTCATTCTGTGGAGTCAGATTATGATAGTACAAAACTATGACATATGCGTTTGAGATGGCGGAATTGCATAAAAACAACCTGTTGCATGGTGTTAAAAGTTGCAAGCTCGATCTTTGTAAGTTATGTGTTCTTAGAAAACAGACTAGTCAATCTTATAACTGAAAAACATAAAATTGAAGTAATTATTGATTATGTGCATTTTGATGTATGGGGCCCTACAAGGAAATCTTCATTGGAAGGATCTCAGTATTTTGTTGCATTTATTAATGATTTCTCCAGGAAAGTTTGGGTGTATTTCTTGAAGCAAAAATCTGAATTCTTCTCTAAATTCAAATTGTGGAAAACTGAGGTGGAGAACTAAACTGACAGAAATATCAAGTATTTGAGGTCTGATAATGACACATAGTACACTGATTCGTAGTTTCAGTAGTTCTGTGAGAAGCATGGGATTCAGAGACATTTTTCAGTGCGCAAGACACCACAACAAATTGATGTGGCAGAAAAGGATGAACAAGTTCTTAACTGAAAGTGCAAGATGCATGAAATTGAATGCAGAATTTCCTAAGAGTTTCTGGGCAGAGACTGTGAATATGACATGTCATCTCATCAATAGATCACCTCGAGCATCGTTGGGTAGCAAGGTCGCATAAGATCTATGGACAGACAATCCAGTTAATTTCGATCATTTATGAATTTTTGGTTGTCCTGCTTATGTGCATGAGAGGTATGGACAAGCAATCCAGTTAATTTCGATTATTTATGAATTTTTGGTTGTTTTGCTTATGTGCATGTATCTGGAGATAAAAGATCAAAACTTGATGCAAAATCCAAGAAGGGCATCTTTTTGGGCTATAAGAAAGGTGTGAAATGATACAAATTTTGGGATTCGATTGCAAATAACATGGTGATCAGCAGAGATACAGTTTTTGATGAACAGCCCATGTTACAGCAGAATCAAGACAAGGTGCAAGGGAACAATTCATGTTCAGATGCAGTGCAGATGAATTTAGAACAATATCTATAAACAATTGAGAGAGTTGAAGGTTCAAATCCAACACCTGGTGATTCCATTCCAGATGATCTGCATAATTATAATCTAGCCAGAGACAGACAGATACGCACCAATATAAGACATCCTAGCAGATTGAGTTATGACAATTTGGTCTCTTGTGCACTTCTCATCAGCAGTGATGATCCATCTATTACTAGCCAGGAGAAAGAGAAATGAATGGGTGTAATAATTGAGGAGATGAAGTCTTTGCAGAAAAATCGCACATGGGAGCTAGTTCAGCTTCCTGAGGGAAAGAAGACAATTGGGTGCAAATGGGTGTACAAAAAAAAAACCGTCACCAGCAGAAAAAAATGGGAAAAGTTCAAGACTCGACTAATAGCAAAGGGATTTTCACAGCAGAAATGGGTAAATTATGATGAAATCTTTTCTCCTGTGGTCAAACATACTTTAATCAGAGCAGTGCTTGCATTAATAGTCATTTGGGATTTACATTTGGAGCAGATGGGAGCAGATGGATGTTAAAACTGTTTTCTTGCATGATGATTTGGAGGAGCAGATTTATATAAAACAGCCAGAAGGGTTCACTCAACTTGGACAGGAGCATCTGGTTTGTAGGTTAAAGAAATCGCTGTATGGGTTGAAACAGTCTCCAAGACAACGGTACAAGCGGTTTGACTCCTACATGATTCAAATTGACCACAAGAGATGTGAGTATGATTGTTGTGTTTATGTGAAGAGACTTGATGATCGTTATATTATTTTTCTATTACTGTATATTGATGATATACTGATTGCTGCAAAGAATATGAATGATGTCCGTGGTTTGAAAGTTTTATTGAGCCAGAAATTTGACATGAATGACTTGGGCCATATGAAGAAGATTCTTAGAATGGAGATTCATCGAGACAGAGACTCAAGACGATTATGTTTATCTCAACGAGGATATGTTGAAAAAGTGCTGGACATGTTTGAGATGAGCAAAGCAAAGCCTGTAAGCATTTCTTTGGCAAATCATTTTAAGTTTTTTTTCAGAACAGTGTCCTAAAACAAATACAGAAATCGAAGACATGACAAATGTGCTATATGTCAGTGCAGTTGGCTGTTTGATGTATGCAATGATATGTACTTGTCATGATTTGACTCATGCTGTTAGTTAAGTCTGCAAATACATGGCTAAACCTGGAAGACGACATTAGGAAACAGTCAATTGAGTTTTCAGGTATCTGAAGGGTACTGTAGGACATTGAATTATTTTTTGCAGTCAGCAGGATGATCCTTCAGTTGTGAGGTACGTTGATTCTGACTATGCTGGTGATTTGGATGACAGAAGGTCTACAACTGGGTATGTGTTTACTCTTGGTGGAGGGCATATATGTTGGAAATCAACAATTCAGTCTACTGTGACATTATCTACAACTGAAGCTGAGTACATGACAGTAGCTGAAGCTGCACAGGAACTCTTATGGTTTGCTGAGCTAGTAAAGGAACAGGGCGTTGAGCAAGGTGGAGTTCAGTTGCATTGTGACAGTCAGAGTGTTATTTCTCTGGCTAAGAACCAGATGTACCATGCGAGAACCAAGCACATTGATGTCAGGTATCACAAGATCAGAGAATTGATTGCTTCTGGTGAGATACTGTTGCAGAAGGTACATACTGATGAAAATGCAGTTGATATGTTGACCAAGCCAGTTACTATCTACAAGTTCTTGCATTGCTTGGACTTGTTGAATATTTGCAGTTGCTAGAGAAACATGGTGGCTCAACCCACTTCTGGTATGTAAGAAAATCCATGACGTATTTCTCCTAAGGGGCTGGATATTTGTCAATGTGAGGATTTGTTAGATATGACTCATATACCATAAATGAACAGATTCTGGAGCGGAGCGGAGCTGAAGATTCTGTCCAAATTAGGGCAGTTTCCTTATGTGGGTTGGGGGTGATGTACATAGGTAATTTGATAATTACATATTGTACTCCAGGGTTTTTTAGAGTTATAAATAGACTTGTATGTAACCTTAGGTGTTATTCCAAATTCTGTAATCTCTTTTTTGAATATTGAAAGAAATTCGCCGCTCTGCTCCCGAAGACGTAGGATGCCGAACCTCGTTAAATCTTTATGTTATTCTGGATTTGTGTCGATTTCTGTTTTTCTTCGCCCTAATTACTCAACACATGGCAAGGACATTATTCAAGCTGACATTGAAATTTTTTGGCATAGAATTAATTGATAATGATAGTGTTCTTTTGTTACATTTGAGATGCCAATTGTTAATTTTTAGAATTCTGTGTAACACAACTTCGGAGAAACGTCCGCATGATTGTGTTTCTCTTAATTTCTCAAATGTAGCAATATTTTGTTATTCAACTTTGTTCAAATATATTGCTGACCATTTATAAAACTAAATTGATTTTTAAAAATCTATTTGTTGATTGTCAGTGGGGTGCAAAATAATATATTCTAACAAATCATTCATAAAACTATTTTGACATTTTTCTTCTCTTTTAATGCTATTTCCATCTTTAACTGGGTCATGTATCAGGCAATCATTAAACCACAATATGTCGATCACATTCCCAAAGCTGTGCAAGGCAATGTTGGACAGGTGCTGGACCAGAGAGATGAAAGGAAGATGAAATCTGAGTTATGTAATGATCTGGACTTGAGTCAAGTTATAGACCGCAATATCAGAGATCTATCTGGTGGAGAGTTGCAAAGGTTTGCCATTGCTGTGGTTGCTGTGCAGAATGCAGATATATATATGTTTGACGAGCCTTCAAGCTACCTTGATGTGAAACAGAGGCTCAAAGCTGCTCGAGCTATTCGATCTTTGCTCAGATCAAACAGGTTATAATCTTCATATCAATCTCTTTATGATTTGATTTATGGGAATATGCATTTTATTTACTTTTTCTATGTTTGCAGCTATGTGATTGTTGTGGAGCATGATCTCAGTGTCTTGGATTATTTATCTGATTTCATTTGTTGCTTATATGGGAAGCCAGGAGGATATGGAGTTGTAACTCTACCATCTTCTGTTCGTGAAGGAATCAATATTTTCTTGGCTGGTTTTATTCCTACTGAGAATCTCCGGTTTAGGGATGAATCACTCACATTTAAGGTAAAAGAAGAATGCAAAATTGCAAATTGCTTGAAGTTTCTTAAGCTTTAAAACTGCAAACTGCAATCTGACAAATTTTCTTTGGGAAATTTACATACATACCATACAATTCATATGTATTTACATATCTAACGGCCAAAATTTCATATTTCATTTATAACACTTTTTTGTCATAAATCTATGTGTATGTGCATCAAACTATTAAAAAGTAGATAACAGGGGTATTTTTGACGTGTTGTTCGAAATTTGGATGCTATATCTGTAAATATGAAAGTTTAGGTGTTAGATATGTAAATACGCAAGACCTGTGTGGAAATTTAACCCCCATTTTCTTTCCAGGTTGCAGAGACTTCTAAGGAGAGTGCTGAGGAGATTAAAACATACCAACGTTATAGGTATCCCACCATGTATAAAACACAGGGAGGTTTTAAACTTTGCGTTATGGAGGGTGAATTTACCGACTCACAAATTATAGTAATGCTGGGTGAGAATGGCACAGGCAAGACTACATTCATTCGCATGCTGGTATTGTCCTAAATTTCATTCATATTTTTGCATGTTGATATTTGTCCATTTTGTACACCTTTTTTTTTTTCTTGAGAAAAAAAAATCAAAATAATCTTCTGACTCTGTACATGGGGTCATTTTAGTCCAAGAATTTATAAAAATGTCAGTTTAGTCCACAAATTCCTTTAATATGAGCTGAAATAATCCCCATGAATGATTAATTCAGCTCCAATTTAAAAACTCGGGGGCTAATTTGACACTTTTATTGACGTTGAGATTAAGATGCCGGACTGTTTTGGCACTTCAGTTCTTTTTTTGTTTGCATGTAGGACTGTATGAAATAATGATTAAGATTTTATTACCTACAACTTCCTGCTGCAGCACTCTTTTTCATTTTTATTTGGCAATGATTTTGTTTTGGCTGAACTTACTCGAATAATTGGACGTTCTTAGGCTGGATTCCTAAAGCCTGATTCTACTGAAGGTTCAGATATTGACATTCCTGAATTTAGTGTCTCATATAAACCTCAAAAAATCAGTCCCAAGTTTCGATCTTCAGTGAGGCTATTGCTGCATCAAAAAATTCAGAACTCATATGCACATCCTCAGTTTGTATCTGATGTTATGAAGCCATTACAAATTGAGCAACTGATGGATCAACAAGTTGTTAATCTATCTGGGGGAGAATTGCAAAGAGTTGCACTGTGTCTATGCCTCGGAAAGGTTTGCATAATTTCCTTTTTGTAACTAACATGGATCGTCACGATAAGATATTAAAGAACAGTCTCCTAACCAACCTAACATTCAATAATCTTTCTCGAAAGTACAAGACAGTTTCTTAGAAATGACTGTAGTTGTGTCTGATTTGGTGTTTTCTACCATCCATTTAGTCGTTTTTCTGATATCTTCATCTTCTCAATAATTTTTTAACGGTGTCAAATCGGGTCGGGCTTGACCCGAACTTGAACTGACTAGAATATTAAACGGGTTAGAATTCAACCAGAAACACCCATTCATCTCGCTGACCTGAGCTCAGCCAGTATAACCCTTTTAATTAAGGCATAACATCTATTTATGTTTAATTTGAGCCGATTTCAACCAATATCAGGTCAATTTCCGGCTTATAGGTCAGTCTCGGGTCAATTTTATGTTGGCTGGTCAACTTGAACAAAACTAAAAAATTCAACCGGTATGATTCTTAACCCAAGCCCGACCTAAAAAGTAAAAAGTAGTCGACTCAACCCGAATTTTTTGAATCGAGTTTGATTTGAAACATTGAGTTGATGTGTCATGTCATATTTTGACGCCCTAAAAATTTGTACAGCCTGCTGACTTATATCTGATAGATGAACCAAGTGCTTATCTTGATTGCGAGCAACGGATTGTCACATCAAAGGTGATAAAGAGGTTTATTCTGCATGCAAAGAAAACGGCCTTTGTTGTTGAGCATGATTTCATTATGGCGACCTATCTTGCTGACAAGGTCATTGTTTATGCGGGAAAACCTTCCGCGGAATGTACAGCCAGTGCTCCGCAGTCATTGGTATCTGGGATGAATCTCTTCTTATCTGTGAGTGCCTCATTATCACTAATTTTTTGGAATATTTGTAATGGAGAGTAAATTTAAGCCTTTCAAATTTGTAGTATTGGAGCTTCCTATCCTTTGGATAGTATCTTATGTTTTCTTTATCACTAAAGTTAATTAATAGAAAGTATTATCATTGGAATCAAGTAAATGATAATAAATTCCTTAAGTTTTGCTTTTAAGATTTGAAAGCATAAAAACCTGTTTCTTTATTTGATTTATCATGATGATAGCAAACATGCTCTTATATTGAAGCCAAAAAGAGAGCTATAAAGAAACTACATTAAAGAAAAGTATATATTATAAAGAGGACACCTTTTTATAATAAATACAATAAATTTTCAAATAAATACTAAACATATGTATAATATTGATATCGGATTATAATAATTCCAATAAATTTTACTACGACAACAATAATAAAAACCAAGATAGCAGCTGACTTGGAACAGCCTAGTTTAGTGGATATTGATTTGAATTTGTCGTGATTGCTTTCGGGGCTAGTTTAAATGTGCATTTTATGATGAACTCAAAAGTTTTCTCTTTATTTCCGCACAAGTTCCTGCATGCATGATTCTGAAGTGGTCCTTGAAATCTTATCTTTTGGCTTATATTCTATGTAAGAATCTGGTCCAGCCATTACTGCCATATGATGTAGTGGACTTCTGGGGGGCACCAATGTTTACAGAACAATTTCATTTTAATTTAATTTTTTTTATGCAGCATCTTGATATTACTTTCAGAAGAGATCCAACTAATTACAGGCCTCGCATAAACAAGTTGGATTCTACTAAAGATAGGGAGCAAAAAGCTGCAGGATCATATTACTACCTAGATGATTGACAGGCCTACATATGAAAAGGTTTTTATATTATTATTTATTATTATCAGCTTGGAAGATTTATATACATACCATTTAATTCCTATGTATTTGCATATCCAACGTTACATGTATGTCATCTTAAAGAGTGTATTTCACTTTTCAGAAGTTAGACCAGTGATATTTTTTATGTGATATGAATGATTTGGATGGTATGAGTTAAAAAAGTAAAATTTAAGTGCTAGATAGACAAATTCATAAGGATTGACTGGTATATATGTAAATGCCCCTTGAGACTTCAACATTTTCCTTCGTTTGTAGGTCTCCTTGTTACAAAACCAAGGGGTGCTCTTGCCTTCAGTGCAGAAAGCTGCTGAAATCTGGTTGTTTATTCGAATTTAATGAAGACCACAGGTATTTAATGTTTCTACTTCCATAAGGTTTTTAATACATGGAAGGTAGCTGAGCCTTGAAGCAGTATTGAATTATGATTTGTTTAGCATGCAGTGATCTGTTTCCTGGAGCAGAGATTCTGGATGGACATGCTTCTTTCTGCTGGCCTAGGTGAGAATAAATACTAAAGTTCTTGAGCCAATTTATATAGTTTGCTGGAAAAAATAAGTATCAGGATGAATTTAAATTTTTATTTAATTTTTTTTTTGCGATACATAAATAATTGGGCAAATTTTATCTTACCCTTTGCTACTGATAAGAATTAAGAATTTTTTTTTTCTTATTCTTTTTCTTTTTGGCTTTTAATATATTGCCATTTGCCAATAAGGCTGTCAATTTGGCTCGTTGTTCGTGAACAGCTCGTGCTCGGCTCGTTCGTTAAGCCTAACGAGCCGAACACGAACAAATTTTTAAGCTCGAAACAACAAATTGTCTGCTCGTGTTCGGCTCGAAATGACTCGAAAAAAAATTATATAACTTTTTATATAACAATATATTACATATATTATTTATATAATAATATATTATATATATTTATGTCTAAGTTTAAATCATAACACCTCATGTGACGATGTAGTTAGTGTCTTCTTTTGTATATATTTGATCCAGGTTCAAATCTCACACTTTACATCTATTTTTCTCTATTTTAGTTTAACGAGCCAATTTCGAGCCGAACATGAGCTGAACACGAACACAAATATTTAAATCTAGCCGAACACGAACACACTGTTCACGAGCCAATTTCGAAAACGAGCCGATTTCGAACACGAGCTATTTCGAACGAGCCGAACACGAGCCAAGTCTGAGCTCACTCAAGCTCGGCACGTTTACAGCCATATTTGCCAATGTATAAAAGAGTCAAATTCGAGAGAGCGCAAATGCTATTAGTTTTAATTTTAAATAGACTCCTTAAAATTTTTTCTTTATATCCTATTGGAACATTTTATTTACAGACCACTCAATTCCTGCGCATTAACATATCGGACACTAATGTTTCAATTTTTACATATATGTCATTTTGCCAATGCATGAAAATTTGTATTTCGCTTTTTAAGTGTTAAGGATAGTGGTGTTTTTGATGTGATGTTGAAGATTTGGGTTGTATAAATGTAAAAAAAAAAGTAATGTTTATGTATTCGTGGGATGTATGTATGCCTCTTGAAAGTGAGATCTTCACGAACTCAAATTTGGGTGTTTTTTCTTTATATCCTATTGATATATGTATGCCTCTTGAAAGTGGATATTTGGGTGTTTTTTTGGCAAGTTGCCAGCGAGTTCCATGAATTTATGAACTTTCGGATTTTGAGTCCTAAATTTGATTTTGATTCGTTTTAAATACATATATACAAAAAATAGGGGTAGTTGAAACTAACGGATTAATGATTTATAAGTTTATTAAATCCTACTAACCCAAAATCCTACTTACAACCAAACACCCTAAGGGCTCTTCAAATTTAGTAGAATTTTCTCTTCAATTAAGCAATCAAAATTTGAAGCATATTATAATCACTAATTTTTAATTTGTATATATATATATATATATATATTTGAGTATAACTTAAACTTGAATGTACCACTTGAATGTACCACTATATATATAAATGCATTAATTCAAAATTTTTTATTAATATTTAATTTTTTTATGATGATTTTATTTGTTATTTAATATGTACAAGTAGCTTTGTTTTTTTATCTATTTATGATAATTGTTTTGAGGATAAATAACTTTATTTTGTAAACAAATTAAGATTATATTAAAAATGTAAATTATCAATGATTCGAGCTATAATGCCCATATAAACTAAACAAATAAAAATATAATTAAAATCTAAATAAAAATTAAAATGTTTTATTTACCCAAAGATTAAAAATTAAAATTGATTAACTAAATAAATCTTGGACTAAATGAAAAAGAATCAAATTTAAATAACTAGATGGCCTTCACGTTTAGGTGAAAAAATAAGAGAAAAAGAAAAACTCAATTGCTTTCATATTAATACTTTACTATATGCATTTACATATGTAACCCATATAGTTAGATATTTATATTTACAGCATGTCATATATATTTCTTAAAGATGGACGGCAACATGTAGTTGTTCATCCCATATATGTCAATTCGACCAAGATGAATTCTAACCCGGGACAGAGGGGACCTGCGCTAAAGCTGTCAACAAACAGACCACCAGTTGCGCACAATGTTCATAACAATATATACTACGTTTATTTGGTGGAAGGGAAAATTACATACATAGCATCTAATTCTTATGAATTTACCTTACTCCTAAGCTTTCACTTTTACATACATAACACTTTATCTGTGGATGAAAAAGATGATTTTGACTATTAAAAGATGATAATGAGTGCTACTTTTTCATATGAGATTCGTGATTATGAAAGTTTTGGTGTGAGGTAGGTAAATATAAAAGTTTTGGGTGCTATGTACATAAAAGCCTCATGGTGGAATTGGAGGTTGCCTTAGAGACATCACAACAACATTCAGGCAGCCACCAATATCAACCAAAATGAGGATTTTATCTGTCTTTCCATTGTTGGTCTCAGGTGAAACTGATTTGAAAATGTGGTTCTCTCACAACATCAACAAAAAATATTTAAACATATGATTTTAAATGACAAAAGCATACTCTCTGTATACATTAAAAGCAAAATCATATTATACTTCTATCCATCCCCATTCAAGCAAAGAATTTGATGATAGAATCAGTTCCATTCCCAAGTTCAACTATTGAAACTAAATGTTACAAGCAACAAAATCTTAAAACATATGTGCTCGAATGTAGAACATATTGGTTGAAAATAAAATAAAAAATCCTAGTTCGAGTACTTGGGTTGCCCAGAAATAAATAAATTAAAAAAAAAAATCCTAACAATTTTCAACTGAAATGCGTGCTGAATGATGACTCTCAGCTGAAATAACCGTCATTCACAACGCTTCGAAATGATTTTACCTCCTGATCTTAAGAAAACTTCATCATTCAACATTCATTTTCGACCGAAAATTTCGATAGAGCCTTAACATTGCTCGACGATTAAAAGCATGAACCATTACAGTTCTGAAATTGACTACCAAATCAGACAGCAAATGTCTGCAAAAACCACAGATTGTTCAGATTTTAATTTCCTGCAACCAGATCAATACTTCCAAACATTCCATCAAACTTTTCAGTGAAACTCCTCATCTAATTCTTAATTGATTCAGTCTATTGTACCATATTGAGTGAAGTACCATATGAAACAAATCATACTTCACAGGCCTGTTATGCCACAGAAAGTGTTTCTGAACTTTCCTCACTCCCAGCTGCATCAACCTGTACTTCTCTTCCGGGATCGAAACCAGTAAATCTTTCAGTCTCGGCACATCTTCCTCTGGAATTATAACGGAGAAAGCCTCCCAATTCAACGTTTCGAAGAAAGGCGGCACGTAGTTGTCGGATATTATGACAGGAACACATTCATAGTAGATGGATTCAACAACTCTTGGACTGTTAACCTCATAACCCCTTGGGCAGATGCAGTACTTGCTGTTCTTCATGTGCTGAATGTAGATCATCTTGCTCTCCACACCAGGAGGCATGGGGCCTAAAATTTTCATGTCTGGGTCCTTGTTCTCCCAGTGCTGCAGAAGGATGGGACGAAGCCGACCATGAAGATTTCCGGCATAGAAGGCCAGGGTTGAACGGTTGTCCACAGAATTTCCGCCGAGATCTCGGAGAGGATTTCGTGCAGAACGGATATAGATTTCAGGGAGAGAGACATCTTTTCCCAATTGAAAACCTCTCCGAAGATCGGCGTTGCAGAGGGCCCGGATGGCAGATCCCATGGCTTGTGCTGTTATATGGGGTGCCTGGTAGAGGAAGTGAAACTAATCAGAGGAATGGTATATGAGCACATTATAGAATCAGGTTAGGCCTTATGGAAAAAGAATTGTGAATAGAGGATGTGAGCCAATAGTTCAAGGAAATCATGTGTCAAATTGTTTCCTGACTGTTTACATGGGGTCTTTAAAAGTGCAAAATTAGTCCTCATACTCTTTAAATTGGGCCGGAAATAGTCTCTTGAAATAGCCCATATTAATGAACTCGGGGACTAAACTGAAGTATTCATAGGCTCTGGAAAGAATCAAGACTAATGAACAATGATTGACACGTTACAAGAGGGGAGATTCATGTACAATTATCAGAGGCTAATGAAGGCTAATGAAAAATGATCTCAAGGTTAACTAAAAACGGATTAGAGTCTTGATTGACACTAATCAGGCTAAAGAATCGAGGCTAATGAACATATTTATAGGCCCGGGGCCTAAATTGACACTTTTCTTGAAAATTATATTGTTGAAGGCTAACGAACAATGATCTCAAGGTTAACTAAACATGAATTAGAGCCTAGCATGATTTGACCGGGATCAAACTTGCTAATCTTGATTCAAGGAAAAATCGATTCTATTTTCAATTAATTTTTAATATTTCAAAGATTTTTTAGTTCTTGTATTAATAAATGCATTGTTACATAAATATATAGATCGATAAATGACTGCCTGCTATGTGAATACACAAACATGCATTATACAAATAAAAAATATTAATATTGATTAAATCTTAAGCTAGCATGATTAGATACAGGGTTGGTATAATCCAAGTTCAACTAAACCAGGGATTAGCATTTTATTTGGTTCCTTGATTTGTATTTTAGCTCGATTTGAGCCACATAGAGCCACAAAATAATCCCATTTTCCGAGTGACTTTGATTCAGTCAATTATCACAATTATTATGCATTTATATACAGCACTCTTTAATTAAGTGGTTATCATGAACTGAGCATCTTAGCTTGCTAAATCGTTCCATCAATAAAAAGTAAAACTTTTTAGTCACTAACACATTATTCCTATTTTTCTGAGCGAAAAAAAAAATGTTGAAATTTTATTCCAATCATAACAAAGAATTGAAGGCACATGAATCTAGGTTTTGTACCATTAGATATGTTTACTTATGATTCTTAGAAAGTAAAGAACTTAAGGTACATGGATCGAGGTTATGTACAGTTGAACCTATTTCTCAACGACACTAAATTGTAATATGTGTGCTTTCTTACAGGATTACCGACACTAATTATTTTTCCCTTTTTTTAATTTATTTATATTTTACAATGCCTCTCATAATTGTACATGAATCTCCCATCTTGTAAAAAGAAGAAAAAGAGATTCTTAAGAAGTTTTTTCATTTTTTTTATCTGAAATTTTATGGTGGATTATGCCACAACGTATAATCATTACTAGTGGCGAATTAAAAGCCTGGATTATTAAAAATAAAGAGCATGTCATCAACAGATTATTTACGTCAAGCAAAATAACCATACAAAAAATTTCAATTTTGTTAAAAGATTAAGAAAAGTATAGTTCAGAAATTTTGTAAATAAGCTTTTTGATGCAAGATTCAGTAAATTCTTTCCCAAATTTTATAAATGAAAGGTTATAACTTACCCAGTCATGGCAAGCAGCAGCAAAATGATCTGCCCCACCTGTTCTATTCCAGTATGGATATTTCACCCCGATCAAATCTATGTAATTCTTCAAGTGCTGAGCTAAATTTCTGTGGCTGTGCGACTTCGGATCGTAAAACGCGAGTTGTAGCAAGCGAGAACTAAAGGGCATGTAGAATAGGTGAGCCTTTTTGTGGTCTCTCACAACAAAATGTTTGTCTGATTGTAGAAGCTTCATGAGCCAGCCTTCAGAGGCATATATTCCTCTCAAAAGTGGCTGATGGAATACAGGCTTATTTCCTTCTTTGTAGACATAGATTTTGAGATTCTGTTCCATCAAGTTATAACTTCTGCAGCAAAGAAATATGTTGCTATAAATTGAATGGATTATAGTTACAGATTATTGCAGTATTCTTATGGAAATACAAGTGTTATGAAATAATAACATTTGTTACCACTGAGAAATAATGTCTACAACAAACATTTAGAAGTAGGAATGTCCATATAGTACGGTAGTAATTTGAATTTGAAGTGTGGGAATCAGTCAGGAGTTGACTATGCCCCATCTAACTAAAAAGGCAATTTTATGTCAAATCCAAAAAGTTTTCACATTTTTACTACAAGTCTTCCATCTGTTTTATTCAAACTTTTATGTAAGGGTTATATTAAAGTGTCAAAATAGTCCTTTGACTATTTACATGGCTCCCTATCAAATCTTTTTCATTCGCTTTTAGCAACAACGTTTTCTCTTTGCGAGATCCGAAAGGAGTTATTTTAGTCCCCGAGTCTAAAAAAAATGCTAAATTAGTCCAAAGACTATTTTAATGGGAGCTAAAATAGCCCTCTTTATGAAATATTTTAACTCACCAAAGACTCTGGGATTAAAACGACACTTGCAAAGAGTCAGAGGACCATTTTGTTTAAATAGTAGATAATTTATCTATCTTCTTGTTTGATATATTCAAACAAGAGCTTTTGAAGCAACCTTAAATCACATGATTTGCTATTCTTCATTTAAGACTTTCAATAAAATCACGCCTTCAATGAAAATAAAAGACAAAACTTGCTTCAAACTAGGTTGGTGGGTGCCTTTTGTACCAAATGAAGGATATTATAAACCATAAACAATGATCATAAATATTTTAAAGCAATATTCATATTCTACAAGGAAGATTTACATACATTCCATCCGATTATTATGTATTTACATATCTAACACCTAAACTTCAATTTTTTTACATACATGCCACTATGCCACTTTACCTATGCAGGAAAAGGTGTATTTCACTTTTTAAGAGTTAACATAATGGTATTTTTGATGTGCTATGAATAATTGAGGTTGTGTAAATGTAAAATGTAAATTTTAGATGTTAGATATGTAAATACATAAGAATTGGGTAGAATGTATGTAAATGCCCCATTTTAAAATGGTCTAGCAACTAGAAAATGAAATAGGAGAGCATTATAAAATAAAGGCTGCGTGTCCAAGTTAATAAAGCATTTGCATACGATATGAAAGAAAATAAATATACAGCCGGCATTATTAGCTCGGATGGTTAGGGGTTATGGTTGACATTGTTCGGCCATTTTCATGCTTCTATATCAAAAAGAAAACTGAGGCCATATTTGGGACCATTTTTTGTTTTCTGCTTTTTGTTTTTATTTTCAAAAAATAAAAAAATAATAAAAAAAAATATGTATGTAATATGTTTTTTGGGACTGATTTTTTATTTTGTTGAGAAATTATGTCCTTTGTGCACTAAATACGATGGGTTCATTGAAAAGCAAATGGCTTGCAACCAAAAAAAAAAAAAAAGGTGTAGTGAGAAAATGAATTTTGACATGGAAGGTCAACTAAATATACAATTTAAAGTATTAAGGCTATATTTGGATGGTAGAGATTAAAGTGGAAGGAAATGAAGTAAAAAAAGGGCTGAAAAGCTGAAATCAAAGGCCTTAGATTCATAATCAAACGAAAAAATCATGGCATTTCAAATTATTTGCTCCACTTTACTTCAATCTAAGAATGTTTAAATCAAATAAATCAGATGGAAAATACTAACATTTTGCTGGATGGCTCTCCTTGGTAGGGCTTCTCTTAAACTTTTCAGTAGAAAAGGCCCACTGAGACCAGATAATTTGGATAAATTTTTTGTACGTTGAATATCAAAAGTTATACATCAAATACTCTTAGGATGTTGTTTCAAAATAGCTTCCAAAAAACATTTCTGAATGCAGATTAACAAAAGTCAAAAAAATATCTCCACTCTAATAACATCAAGCCCATTTATCATAAACAAATATCTCATAAAATTTTCGCTAATTTTGTTCTAGTTTTCTTCTAGATAATTTAAAATTATTGGGTCAAGTTCTTAATGGGTACATTTTGGTCGAAGATTTTCAGAAAATTGAATTGATTATTGGTCCAAATGGAGCTAGGACTGAATCAAATTTGGCGAGCCACAAGGTTTTTTTTTTTGGATTGAGTTATTATATTATCCAATTATAAGTCAAGTGCAGTGAGATCAAGGCTCATGTTAGATTTAAATTTACATTTTAATATAAACTGTTTCCACTCTGCACTAGATCATTGCATTAGCTAAGTAGTTGAAGCATATATGCTTACTTTAGAGCATTGTTTGCACATGACTTGAGTTCGAAAAATGTTGACTACTAACAATTTATTTCAACTCTTATTGTTTCAAGTTAATTTGTTTCTTACTTAAATGTTTACAGTTTTCTGTACGCTTGAGATGATTAAACAACCTTTGATTTAACAATATATTATGTCAAAAATAATGATTAAGCTTGTGTTATGGCTAATGTTATAAACTTAAATATTTCAAATTTATTCATTTTCAAGGTGGCTCAAAATCGTTCAACTTCAAATTGAGCTTAGCAAAATAAATGGGTAGAGTCATGACCCAACCTTGCTCCTATAAATTATTTAATCAATTTGATCTTCATACAACACTAAATTGGCTCGAGATCGAATCATTAAATCCTTAATTAAACACACACTAAGGAGCAATATATCACAATCTAACAACTAACTAGTAATGAGAACTCTAAATGCTAATATTCTTCATGCATATTCTTGACATGGTTTGTCATACCAAAAGCATAATTAATAAGATCCACAAATTTAATATTTCCTGATTTATGTTGCTACAAACCTATGAGTTTAGATATTACAATGAATTCCTTTAATAAATAAGAAAATAATTAGGAAGGATCCAAAAAACTTCGGCATGAGGAATTAATCAACTCCTACACAAGTAGAAACATCCTATTTTCTAAGTCATAGATACAAATTGACGCATACTATAAGAAAATAACAATTGGCAAACACTTGTCCTCAACAAGTAAACATATTGATTCTCATTGTCCATCTTTCTCCCCTTATACTAGTGGTTCTTTCTTCTTGCTCTTGCAATTTTATTTTTCCTCAGAAAACATGATAGTTATAGTGTTGGTCGTGGCTCTTACCACAACAAATTTGGATAAATTTTTTACCTCTCTCACCTAAAATCCTCATACTGCCACTAAAACATAGGGAAGTTCATCATCATATCGAAGTTAACCCAAACCACGATGCAAGACACAAATTTATTAAGAACTTACAAGACGGTTAAAACAATGACTCAAAATAAAGAAAGACACTACGGAAATCAGAACATAAAACAAGCATTACAAACAAAGATCGAACAAACATAGGCACAATAAGCTCTACGAGGCGGGAGATGGGGCTAGAGCGGCGTGTCACGGACTAACTTTCGTCAAGTCACCCGTGCGGCTTTAGCGCTCTCTCTTAGCACTAAATCAGCCTAATCACTCACAACACTGGACTTAGCAGCCCCAAGCACTCTTAAGAAGAAGAATAGAGAGAAAGGAATAATTAGCACTTGAATACTAGAATGCTTTGATACCACTTGTCACCTCCCAAAAGAGCCCTTGTGGGTGGTGGGCAGCCCAGGACTTAAATACTGCTTTTCGGCCCTACACCTAGCTGATGTGGGACTATTTGTCCGTGACAGGCGGCTTCAGTGAAGGATGGAGCAATGTCGAGCGACTAGGGAGGAGTGGGACAACTCTGCACTCGTCGAGGTGTCAAACTGCAGCCGGAAGAAGTGTCGTTGAAGGCTGGAATCTGGAGGCGACAAGGATGGCAGTCGAAGCCAAGGAGCGGAGGCAAGAGTGGCAGAGCGGAGATGTGGAGGCAGTTGGTTGTAGAAAGAGAGTCTATAGTGGGAGGCAAGAGTGGCGGCCGAAGCCAAGGAGCGGAGGCAAGAGTGGCAGAGCGGAGATGTGGAGGCAGTTGGTTGTAGAAAGAGAGTCTATAGTGGCTGGAGGCGCTGGGGGTGGCCTGAGGATGGCTGCAGCCAGCTGGGAGGGAGGCGGCAGCGGACTAGACGTTGGAGAGAGGGTTGCGGCCTACTGTAAGGGAGTCGGTAGGTGCCTGGGAGAGTAGCAGGGTTGCGGTAAACCTGCAGAGAGGCTACAGGAGGAGTGTCGTTACTCTCAGAGAAGAGCAGGAAGTGCGGCAATCTGCAGGGAGGCTGCAGACAGACTGGCGGTCTGGGAGGGCAACAGGCTGTGGTAACCTATAGGGAAGCTGTGGAGGGTGCGGCAGGGAGGAATAGTGCTGTGACCTGTAGGAGGCCGTAGAAGAGACGCCTGGATGTTGGAGTAGAGGACTGCAAGGGAGTTGCAGAGGCATGGCAGGGAGGAACAGTGAAGATAAACACCACCTCAGACGAAGTTACAGCCCGAGTACCTTCCTCGTCATTGGATACAGCCTTAGCAGAAAAAATACTCGGATAAAACTAAAATCAAATTTCAAAATCAAGACCCCTAACTGTAGAGACATCAACTCATATTTATAAGAGACTTGACCCAATTTAGGAAGTGTTTAAATTAAAAAAAGAAGAATAAAAATAAAATTAAGATCTCAAATTTTCAGGAAAGGTTTAAATTAAGAAAGGAGATTAAACTCAGAATTTAGGCTTTTAGAAAAGAATTTAAATTAGAAAAGGGCCCTGGAAGAAAAATAGAAAGAGGAGGAAATGAAAGAAAAAGGAAGGGGAAAAGGGAAAGGAAAGGAAAGAGGAGGAAGGACGGGTGGTGGGGCCCCCCTCCAAGAGGACCTGTCAGTCCCCCATGATCCCCGCGTCACACCAAGTAACTTAAACTTAAACATTGAAGTAAGTGCATCATAGGAAATTCCTAATTTAGAATAACACACTTATGATATTAACAATTAGTTTTATTGCGATAATTAGTTTGCCCCATTTTGACTTTAAGGCAACATGTTTGGATAGCAAAAACAAGCTTTAAGCTAATGAGGTAAGCCCATGTACATTAGCTCTTCCTCAAACCTTAATGGGGCAAAACCTAATTGATTATGCAGCAAAATTAAAACAAGCACATAAAAGAAAAAAAAAATCATTGGTGAAAATGATGCGGGAGCACCACGTACAGGACCACGTCTACAATCCCACATATAGTAGTTGAACGTGGAAAGCCTACCGCAACCAGGCTTTGTCGTAGTTGAGAGTTTATTTCTAATTTTTTAGGGTTAGTTTTTTGTGTGTTTTGTTTAAGATAGCTATCAGTAGGGCTGTCAAAAAAGCTTGTTGTTCGCGAACAGTTTGTGTTCGGTTCGTCAATGAGTTCGTGTTCGATTCGTTCGATAAGTAAACGAGACAAACGCGAACAAATTTTTTTCGTTCGGTTAGTTAAACGAACCAAACACGAACAGTGATGCGTTCGTTCGTGTTCGAATCGTTATTGTTTGAAATATAAAATAATATAAAATAATTATATATAAAAAATTTATTATATTCTAAAACATTAAATTTTATAAATTATAATATATAATAAAATAATAATAATAATATATTAATATACTATACTAGTAATATACTAATATAGATATTGTATATTTATATAATATAAGTTATATAATTAATATATAATATTATTTTTATATATTAATATTAGGGATGTCAAACTGGCTCGTCGTTCGCGAACAGGTGTTCGGCTCGTTCGTTAAGAAATGAACACGAGCTTATTTCAAACAAACTAAATTTTAAACGAACCGAACACGAACACAAGCTTTGTTCGTTCGTGTTCGGTTCGTTTACACCCCTAGCTATCAGCATCCGTTTTCTCCCTTCGATGGCTATATCTGACAGTTTATAAGGTGCTTCGGATGTATCCCTTCTCCCAATGTAGTGTTTATTTTCCCTATTCCCCTTCCTCATCCTCCCCACACCACTCCCCGCCGCCATTCCCTGCTACAACAGCCTAGAACAGTTGTCGAAGCTCCTTCATGCAGTTTTTACATTCCAGCCCACGTTCCCTACAATTCCCTGGCTCCGGCTGGCTGTCATCATTGTTCCACGCACCATAAATCCTCTCCCCTTCCCACTAGCTCCCTTCTCAGTCATCTCGGACCATGTCCCAGCCACCTAACTGCTGTCCCAACACTCCTGCACCACCTACCTGCCACATATCCGTTTTCCCACCACCTGGAACCCAAATTTCAACTTGCCATCGCTCAGGACAACAAGGACTTGTTGTCCCGTTGTCATATCTGCCAACTTGCTCCACGCTCCTGCCTTACTGCAGCCTTCTAAACCCCCGCTGATCACCAACACCCCAAGATCCTACCCTAGTTTGAATATTTGTGCCTTGTGCGTTGCTATTTCAGATTTGTGGGTATTGTGTTATTGTTTTTCTCTTTCAAGTGTGTTGATTGTAGCTACCTACTTCCTTTCAATAATAATTAATTTTTTTTCCTATTGTGGTTTAGGTTAACTCCGGTATCATAAAATCAACGAGAAGAACAATCATAGATTTTAAATGATAAATAAACACAATTTTTAATGTTTACCATGAGAGTTTATCATATTTATCAACTTTTACAAAAGCAGAAAGAGGATATCTAACGAGCTGCAAGAGAACTACATAGAAAACATTTACTGAATTCCTAGGAGCAAAAATGAAGATTTAAAGTCCATCAACAAACAATATAAACAAAACAAAAGAGTTAAAGTGAATAAAAATCTAAATATTAATAAACAAAAATATATGGTGCAGGGCTTACCTTTTAAACTTAGAAATGTTCCAGAAAGCAGGTATAAAAAGTTCCTCATCATTTTTCACCACAGGAGCATTCTGCATCAGTGCCTTCACAGCCAAAAGCTGCTTATCACGAACTGAAGGCCACTGCTCTATAATAAATGCAAATTATGTTTCCATAAAAGGGTAACAAAAGGAAGAACATTATAAGATGTCAATGTAATTTTCAAGATAAAAATACCTTTTGAGGATAAGAAGAATGGTATGCTTGCATTAGCTGTTTCATTTCTGAAACTGAGACTGGCAGCCTACCTGGTTTTGTTTTTCTTATGTGAATATAAACATTCTTAGAATCAAAAGTTGAAGAACTAGAAATTGACAATTTTGTGCTGTTTGTAAGGCCTCTCCCCTTCATTCGATGTTCTCCCAAATTAGAATCTGCTTCACTCTCTACTAATGAAGAGATTGCAACATGGCTACTTGAATTATCTACTAAAGCTTCCTTCATGGACTCATTATAACCGGAAGTAGCAGTTTTTAGTGGAACAATTACTTCATCATGAACTCCTTTGTTCCTCTCAGAAAATATATCTGTAGTGTTCTTAGATGTAAAGGCAAAATCAAAGCTTTCTTCTTTTGCAACCCCAGGAGAAGAAATATTTTTTTGTACGTCAATCTCTTCCTCTGTGATCGACCAAGATACTTGGTCCCCGTCATCATTAAGATTTTCTTTCTCCTCAAAACCCAAGGAGATTTCCCTATTGAGATCTATATCCTCCATCAGGCCAGTAATATTAGCTGAGAGAACTTCCTTCTTTGAAACCAAATCCACTTGTTCATCATCTATGGAATCAGATACAGTTCTTCCACTGGCATTTTTAATGTCGGCCAATGCTACCTCCTTAAGGATTACTTTTGGATACGTAGAGTTCTGTGCATCACTTAAAAGTGAAAAAAAATCCAACCGCTTTCTCTCCAGAGAAGTTGCTTCATTTGACAAAATCTCATCTTTCTTGAGGCTAGGAAGTACAGGCAGTGAAACAGTCCAATAAGGGAGTGTGAAAGTATGAAAAACTAGAATAAGTGAAGTAATAATCCCTATCATGAAAAAGAGTCTCCTACTCCAAAACCGGCATGGCATTTGAATTCGAATATTATGATCATCCATTTCATGCAACAGTAAAGCAGCTTAAAGTGAGAACCTTTCTCCTCTGAAATTTTTCAGAAAACAAACAAATCATGCATCGGTGCTTAAACTATGAATCCTGAAGCAGCACTGAAACTGTCCGGTTCAATAAGCTTACATCAACAATCTAATGAAGAGTATCGAACAAAAATTTCCTGAAACTAATTCTAAGCAGGAATCGGATGGACGAATTCAGCCTGTGTTCCCATTTCAGCTTCTTTTGCTACAAAAAAGAAAATGCAAGTAAAGTAGAAGAACAAGAGGAGCAAATTGACGACTTCTAATTAACTGATACAAAAAGGATTATTGCTGAAAAGCCGCCATTTCCGAGAATATGAAGTTCCCGTACTTCAAGCTTCGAAGCGCGACGTGCAAGAAAAAAACCAGAAATTCACTCACCCAAGTCTCTTTCTCCAGTTCTGTTTTCCGTCATGGGGAGAGAGGAAAGCCAACGCCAAAGATTAGTTTTTTAAAGAGAACGCAGTCCTATCATATCAGAGAAACAAGCACTGGTGATGAACCGAAAAGCAGCAGCGAATTAGGGTTTTTACGAAGGAGACTTTCGAACTTCGCCCGCTCTCCTTCTGTAGCATGGACCTGGAGGCCTATCAATAAGTACAGTGAAGAGGGAATTGGAGTTGTAACGCCATTAGAGATGAAACCCGCCGCTTTCTTTTTTATGGACGGAAAATTAGGAAATGAGTTATTTACAAATTTATAATTGATTGGTCCGCCGCTACCATGGCTTTGATTTTTCTAAAAATAAAGAATATCATTTCTTTACAGTCTAGTTACAGAGATCCAAATGTACCACTTTGACCTTCCTCTATTATAATCTACATGATAGTTTGTATCCCAAGTAGGGGTGTAAACGAGCCGAACACGCATTACTAGTGGTGTAAACGAGCTGAACACGAGCGATTCGTTTATATTTCGAGCTCAAAAAGTGTGTTCGTGTTTGGCTCGTTTGCTTAACGAGCCGAACACGAGCTCTTCACGAACAAAGAGTCCTTTTAACAATCATAATCATGTAGCCATAAGACATAAGACAATAAGGATTTAAAAAATAATTAAAAATTATTATTTATATTAAAACATCATTTGAATCTAATTTAATAATTTTTATTCTATTTTTTTAATCAATATTTTGATTGATTATAAATCTTTGTAGCTTTGCAGTTAATTAGATTTTGATTGATAATCAAGGAGTTACTTTAAGATCTCCTCAAAATCCTAGAACAGATAATCACAAAAGCTTAGTCCCTGAAAATACAATAGAAGATGCCAAGAAAACATCAATTATGTTACAAACAGTTTACAAATTAATCCCATACTCAAAACCAAATGAGAGTCTCTCTTCATCTAGGCTTTATATTATAAACTCTATTAAACCAAATAGAGTGAAGTATCATATGAAACAAATCATATTTCACAGGCTTGATATGCCATAAAAGTGCTGCTGAACCTTCTTCACCCCTCTCTGCAACTCCCTATACTCTGACTCAGGAATCGAAACCAGTATTTCTTTAAGCCTGGGGACATCCTTCTCAGGAACAATAACCGAGAACTTCTCCCAATTCAGCACCTCGAAGAAAGGAGGCACATAATTGTCTGCTATTATCACAGGAACACATTCAAAAAAGATGGACTCCACTAATCTCGGACTGTTGGCCTCATAGCCCCGCGGGCAGATGCAGTATTTGCTGCTCTTCATGTATTGGATATAGCTCATCTTGCTCTTCTCCATACGAAATGCCGACGGGCTGAAGATCTTCATGTCGGGGTCATTGTTCGCCCAATGCTTCAGCAGAATGGAGCGAAGATTGCCGTGCAAGCTTCCAGCATAGAAGCAAAGGAGCGGCCTTTGGTTCCATGGCTTTCCACCGAGGTCTTTCAGAGGGTTCTTTGGTGTTCGTACGTGGGTCTGAGGAAGACAGACATCTCTGCCTAAGTGAAATCCGATGCTGAGATCAGCAACACAGAGCGCGCGGATGCTGTGATCCATGGTGTTTTTGGTGTCATATAGGGCCTGTTACAGGAGAATGTAGTTAAATAAAGCAAGATTTACATACATACCATTCGATTCTTATGTATTTATATATCTTACACCTAAAGTTCAAATTTTACATTATGCACCACCTTGTCTATGCATTTAAAGGCATGCTTCAAATTTTTTAAAGTTAAGAATATGGTTTTTTTATATTAAATGAAAGGTTTGGGTGGTACAAATGTAATGATTAAAGTTTAAGTATTAGATATGTAAATAAATGAGAATTGGGTGGTATGATATAAATAAATGCCACCAACAGAAAAAGGAAGATTTACATAGATACCACTCAATTCTCACGCATTTACATATCTAACACCTAAACTTCAATTTTTACATGTGCCACCTCGCATATGCATTACAAAATGTATTTTAAAAAGTTAAAAAAGTGATATTTTTGATGTGATATGAATGGTTTCAACGGTGCAAATATAAAACATAAAATTTAGGTGTTAGATATGTAAGTGCATAGAATTTGTGCATCTAAATGCCCCTAAAAAAAGAAGCTTTTGACTGTAAGACAATTTTTATGTATAGCACAAAATTCTTATGTATTTACATATTTCAGGCCTAAACTTTCAAATAGCACCAAAGTGCTACACACGTAAATATGAAGTTTAAGTGTGAGATATGTATATTTCCCTAAAAAATGAGAAGTTTTTTACCGTAAGATAAATAATTGTTTGGAGATTGAGAATACCCAGTCATGACAAGCAGCAAGAAAATGGTCAGCTCCGCCTGTTCTATTCCAGAAAGGATATTTTGCTGAAATTATATCTACATAATCCTTAAGATGTTTTCTTAAGTTCGTTCGATTGTGAGAATTGGGCACATAAAGAGACAACTGCAGCAGACGAGAGCTGAATGGCATGTAGAAGAGATGAGCCTGCGTGGGGTCTTTAACAAGATACTGATTATTGCTCTCCATGAGTTTCATGAACCATCCTTCCGAGGCATAAATGCTTCCAAGGAGGGGTTGATGGAATATTGGCTTTTTTCCTTCTTGATATATATAAATCTTAAGAGTCTTCTCCATGAGTTCATAGCTCCTGCACGAGGAAAAATACTAGGAATTTTGAAGTATAATCCCCTTCCACTCAAAAGGCATGAATAAAAAATGGTTACATACAAACAATTCTTACAAATTGCATATGTAACATCCAAAGTTGGATATTTACATTTATAACAACTTGGTGTCATAAACCTATGCATGAAAACGTGTTTTTCACTTTTAAAATGATAATGATGGTAATATATTTTATGTTATGCTAAAAATTTGAGTGGGATGGGTGTAAATTCGAATGTTGAAGTGTTAGATATGTAAATAAATAAGAATTGTGTGGTTTGTATGTAAATGCCCCATAAAAAAAATTAATTTTGTATCATGAATCTTAATAAAAAAATTACCAAGATGAGTTTCGAAGCTCTTGGATCTGCTTTGAGATGAGTGTAATATACAGGCTATCAACACCACACACATCTCAAAAGAGATCCAAAAGTTTTGAGACCCGTTATAACCAAAATTTGGTCATATTATTCTAATCCCAACTTTTTTTTTCCCAATGAAGGTCATATGTTGTTACAACCTTACGACTAAATGAAACTCTATGAAATGGAACTGAATCTAGATAACACTAGCTCAAAAAAACAAAGGAAAATTTACATATGTAGCACAGCATACTATGTATTTGCATACCTCACACCTAAAATTTCATATTTACATTCATAGTACTTTGGTGCTTTAAGCCTATGCATGAAAAGGTGATTTTAACTTTTAAAAGATAATAATAGTGCTATTTTTTATGTGATATTAAGACTTTGAGTGTTTTGCATGTAAATATGAAAGTGCGAGATATGTAAATAGATAAGAATCATGTACTATGTATGCAAATGCCCAAAGAATAAATTGTCAAGATGTCCTTGTACAATTTTGGTCAAGAAAAGACTTGAAACTATCTGATTTGCTTTGAGATTAGTGCTATACCTAAAGAATTTGTATTAGAATCATCTCAAAACAAATACAACAGCTTTTAGGCCCATTCAAACCAAATATTAAAACAAGATATCAGATCAATTTTTTTCCTTGTTTCCAGAACCAACCATGCTTTATTGAAGAGTAGAATTGCTCCATTTCAGCAACTTCAGCAAGGTACATCTTCCTGGTTAGAACTTAATTTTGCACTAAAATTACAGCTAGCTTTGACACTTTTGTTGTTATTTTATCGCCTTACAGTTTTCATTGCCCTGTTTTTAAAATTGTTAATTCAACATTGATGGCTTAAGTGTTATTATATATTCATAATCTCAATCATATAATCAGCTTTCAGTAAGATCTGACCTTTTTCAAACGGCTTATAGCAGACACCTATTTAATATAGACAGCCTAAATATAATCCTATTTTGTTTTTTATGAGCATTTACACATGAATGCAAAAAAAAAAAACCTATAATTTCACAGAAATTTAATGAAGCCATTCATACAAAAACCTCATACAAATAACTGCTATAAAACAAAACGTTTCCTGATTGTTTTCCCTGGTCAAATATTTCACATATAGAAGACATAAGAAGTAAAACAACAAGTTCAATTTCCATAAATAGAATACAGCAAGGATTTCAATCAGGCAATAAACTAACTTCGTAAACTTTGAAATGTCACGGAACAATGGAGCAAAGAGGAGTCGATCATTTTCTATGGGTCGAGCTTTTTCAACCTCTTTCTTGGCAGCCAATATCTGCTTGTCAACTGCTGATGACCATCGAGGTCTCTACAAATGGAAGAATGGGTCAAAAGACTGAAATTACATATTATCTCAAGGAAGAGTACACACATACCACTCAATTCTTATGTGTTTACATATCTAACATCTAAACTTCAATTTATACATATATATGCCACCCTACCTATGCATGAAAATGTGTATTTTGCTTTTTTAAGTCAAAATACTGGTGTTTTAATGTGATATGAACAATATGGGTAGTAGGAAGGTCAGAAACAAACTTTAGCTGTTAGATATATAAATATCCAAGAATTGGATAGAATGCATGTAAATCCCCTTGTTTGAAAGATGATGAGAATGATTTTAGATTCTCCGATAAATACACGTACCATTGAACGGCGAGAAGCACGATTTTTAAGCAGTAGAATGTTCATCTCAGACATTGATAGTGGCGGCATTTCCATCTTCTTCTTCCTCCTCAAGGTGTTAATGATACTTCCATTGTCATGTAATATGGTTGGTAAACTCTCAGATGCCGTTAAAGCTTCATCAATATTAAGTGCTTGTTTTTTCTCCAACTCATTGCCTATAATTTGTGTTTGCTCAACAACCGAAGGATTATTTTCTTTGCTTTTTCCTTCTTCTAGTAAAAGAAAACTATCTTCCGAATTCTTAACAGTCTTTAAAATGTTGTCATCTTCAAGATGGACTGAGAACTCCATATCAGATTCTTCATATTCATCGAGTTCAATATTACTGTTAGGGTCCTCATCTTTTTCTAACTCTTCATCCATTTTTTTGATGCTAAAACCATGATTTGGTTCCTTGAAAACCTTTATTGAATTAATCAAATTCTGTGAATCACTTGAAATAGAGAGTCCTCCAAGGCTTAAGGACTGAGAAGAAATGTCCTTATTTTGGGAGCTCCCCTCATCATTTGCAGGTAAATTGGAAGAAGGAAAATGTGGTGAAAAGTAAATTCTAGAGGGAAGTGTGAAGGTTTGAAGGATTAAAACAGCAGCAACCATGAAAGCCATGGCTTGAACCACCCTTCTACTTCTGATACCACAGATGAACTGAGACTTAGCAATAAAACCTTCCATATTGATTTTTCTGAAAGTCCAATCATTACTTAACCTTGGAGAGAAAAGAAAAAAGCTAAGTTGGTTCAAACAAACAATGAGGGAACTAATAAATTGAAAATCAAATGAAATTTTCATAGTCATGAAGCTCTTATCCTTCTCATCTTTAAAGTTTTTTTCATGTAAGAATGAATAAAAAATACAGAATACAGTGAATTTAAACAAAGTTGATTGTAAGTGAAATAACCCAAAACCATGACAGAATTATAGAAAGTGAGGAAATGCAGCAGAAGTTATCGAATTAAAATTAAAACTTAGAATGTTTCATACAAAGTTATAAATTTAAACAGAAAAAAATTCAAATCAGGAAGGTTGAACTGGATCAATCTCGAGTTCTCTCAAAAAAACTCTTAGGACTTCAGACAGAACTTAAAAAAGCATCAAATTAAACACGGCAATGTTGACGCATTACTGATTGTCTGTTAACCAGGGTATCATGATTTCTAGGTCAAAACTATTCATCCCCGACAGAAAAAACTCAAGATTTGGAAAATAACTTAGATAGAAAAAGACGCGTGAATGCTTATGAAATTGAATGCTGTTAGAATTGTTGAAAAAAAAAAAACAATCGATCTGGGAAAGAAAACTAACCTAAAGAGCCTTTGTTATGTTGATTTGTAGCCCTGTTCTGGAACTCATCCTTTCAATACGACGGTAAAAGAGAGTAGAAAATACTAGCACCTAGAGCAATAAGTGCTTCAGAATTTACAAATTTACCCCTTCGAAGCAAACAGAGGGGAATAACAGACAGGGCTGACAGTATAAGAACCTTTTATTTTTTTACTGCCCATACAAATAATTAAAAATATGCACAAAATATAATTGGACTTCAATTTGATGAAGTCTTTTAATAATTTAGGCAGGAAATAAAATTACTAAAAATCGACAAATAAATTGAGCATAAAATTTACTTCAAAAACTTTAAGAAAACTAGTAAGCATAAAATAAACATGCAAGATTTATCAGATCTCAAAATTAAGTCTTAATAAATGAATTAATATACTACAGTAACAGTCGTTGTAACATTACTCATTTTTGTTATATTACAAGTTTGTCATAGCTATGTTATTAATACGACTACCTAATGTATTGTAATTTGCATGTAAGGAAATATAATATTTCACTTACTTTTTGTTTGGGCTTCCTCCTTACTCATTATTCTTTCTGCTTTTGGCTATCATTAAGGGAAGCTGAGTTCTAGTCTTGGTATCAGAGCATTTTTTTGTTCCAAGACTTTCTTGATCCTACTTGTTTCCAAATTCTTTTCGTGTCTCTAGATTCAGTTTTTGCTGCCTTTGCTTCCATGGATTCTTCCACTACCACCTAGTCCACATGCATGGGTTCACTCAATAAGATCAAATAAACCAACATTCCCAACTCCCTCAAGTTCTTGAGGTATGACATAAAGACCATGACAAATTAGCATTTGTCCTATGAAAACTGTCAGGCTTGGAAAGTCCAAATTCAAAAAATTTTAACCTCTAAGAGTTTTGTAAAATTCTTAGATCCTACCACTCTTCCTCCCCCAATATTCAATCAGCAAGACACCAACCACCAAGAAGAAACAGAGGCTAATTGACATAAATCTTGCTAAAACCATCATATCAACCATTTCTCTATCCATCATCTCATTTATTATTGATCTGAACGGCACAACAAAAATATGGTGTACCCTTGAAAAAAGGTTTTAAGCCACCAACTGATCCTGAGTGATTCAACTCAAAAATGAATTGAACAATGTTTCCATGGGCACAAGTACCATGACCCAGTATCTTACACGATTAAAACCATGGTTGATAACATCGCCACAACATGATCCAAAGTTGACAGCTTCCTCCAAGCTTTCAAGGATTCAAGACCGCTACTCAGATGCAACTAAACCCCATCATCTTGGAAATATTATACTCTCATATGTATAGCAAAGAGTGTAACCATGATAATGAAGCAAGCAAGATTTTCCAACCAACAAATTTTCTTACACAAAAGAACAAAAGTACCTTCTCAGCACAAAAAAAAAAAATTACAGCAAGCTTTTCCCAATGTTCAAACTACAAAATTCCAGCAATCAACCTAAGCAAAAGAATGCAATTAAATGCTAAATATTTTACGATAAAGGGCACTCGGCTGCTACTTGTTGGCATAGGGCTAACTTGTAGTATAAACTCAACATTCCTCCAATCCAAAGGCCTTAGCTACTAACCTTCATCCTCAGCAGTAAGAATAGATCCTATACACTAGTGTCACGACACATATCAATTCCCAAAACCAGTACTTACATCAATCGATTCCATATCACGATACTGACAAAATCACCGTCGAAAATTGTCATACAACATATATTTCACTATTGGTAAGGGTATTTTAATCACTCAAGATCATAAGTTGATTCTATCCCTTCTTTTATGTGCCCACTTACTTTAGCATAATTTCATTTTAGTTAATAAATTAAGAAAACAAGAACTGCTAGTTTTCTTTAAGGCTAACAACTTTTACATACAGGATTGTCACAACAAGACAATTCTACTAAGTGGTCATGCTAATCAAGGCCTTTATCATGCAAATAAAGGCCTTTATAAAACTCCCGCTCTTCAACACAATCACATTGCCTCTAGCACCATATGACACCAAAGGGTCGGGCATCCTCATAAAAAAATTGTGTGAACTCGTTTCTAAACACAACCAACAACTCAAGATTTCCACTCTTTTGACTGCTTGTAATGAGTGTCTCAAAAACAAGAGTCATAAATTGTCTTTTAATTTCAACACTACTACATATACTCTTTTTGATATGTTACACTCAGACGTATGAGGTTCTTTTTCTCATCCATCTATTCAGAATATACATATTATTCCACGTTAGTTGATATTTTTCACGTTTTTGCCGGTATATACCTATGAAAAATAAATTTGAAATAACTCTTTATAAACCTATTAAATATATCAAAACTCATTTCCATAAAGATTTTAATATCTCAGATAAGATGGAGGAGGTGAATGAAAATCACACCAACTCCTTAACTATTTAAATAGTAATGGTATCATTCACAAATTTAACTGCCCTACACTCTCGAACAAAACGAGTTAGCTGAAAGTAAAAACCGACACCTTGTTGAAACCACTCGCACTCTTCTCAACTCAGCTCATGTCCCATTCTCAGTTTTGGATTTAAGCCATTCTCACCGCCAATTATCTAATCAACTATTTTCCCTCTTCCACCACTCAAAATAAATCACCATATCAACTTTTGCACAACAAAACTATGGAATATCAACACCTTCACACCTTTGGATGTGATTGTTTTCCCTGGGATCCACTAGCAGTCCACCACAAATTCAGCCCAAGAGCTCCCATATGTCTCTTTCTCGGTTACAACTACATCAAAGAGGTTACAAATACCTTGATATTGACAATAAAAATTTATAATTTCTCGCCATATTTCTTTCATCAGAAATCATTTTCCCCACCAACATGCATCCATTACCTCTTCTTCCACTACTGATTCTTCATTTATCACTTCTTCCTTTCTCGTCTCCATCTCCACTCTATCTCCTTCACATCAATATTAGCCTTCTCACTCCCATCCCACACCTACATCCCTCTCTACCCCTAACTCCAGTCAATTACATTCACTCTCCTTCATATCCATCTCTTAATCTACCACAAGTCATTCCCTCCCTAACAATTTATGTGTCTCTACCTATCACCAAACACCCTATGTACTAGATCTCAATCAGGCTCCCTCAGACCACCAAACCTTCTAATCTTCAACAACTCCTACATGTTGATGCTCCCATTAGATTGACTTAAGCCAAAAATCAACCTCACTGGTTTCAAGCCATATCAGATGAATTCATGACATTTCAATAATAAATGACATGAGAATTGATTCTTCCTTCTTCCAACCAACATATCCTTTAATCCAAATGGGCATTCAAAACAAAATATCACACCAATGGATCTATTGGTCACTATAAAGCTAGTTTAGTGGCACAGGTGGTTCTCAACTCCACGACATCGACTACTATGAAACATTTAGCCAGTTGCCAAATTTCTCACAATAAGGATGCTCATTACTATTGCTACTTATGAGAACTGGGACATTCGACAGCTTGATACATTCAATGCCTTCCTTCAAGGCAAATTGGAAGACACTGTCTATATGAAACAACCCCCTAGCTTCGATAACTCCCAACATCCTAACCATGTTTGTAAGCTTCGCAAAGATATTTATGGCTTAAAACAAGCTCATCGTCAATGGTACTCTATGTTTCCTCAGTTTCTTCGCACTCAAAAATTTCATGTAAGTCAAGTTGATCCATCTTTGCTAAACTATCAGAATCATAATATCAAAATTTATCTTTCGGTATATGTTGATGATATCCTCATTACTAGCGATTCCACATCCGCTATTAACACTCCGATTCATCATCTCAACTATCAATTAATCCTAAATAGTTTCGAGCCATACCACATTTTTTCGGGCAACAAATTCATCACACATCCACTGGTTATTCCATACATCAAACTAATTGTATCAATGATCTTCTTAATACCACAAGAATGCAACAATATAAATCTGTCCTTACAATCCTCCCCAAACATCGACATCATCAAAACAACACTCCTACACCTCTCTCTGAACCCCACGAATATCATCGAATTGTTTCAATGATATTTGTAATTATAAAAGTTTAGACATGATGTCGATGAATATGAAAATTTTGGTGCCATTTATGTAGAAGCTCCAAAAGAAAATAGTCTTAAATAGTCCCACACCGAAAAATAAAATGTTTATTTAGCGTTAATAAAGCGATGAGCGAGACAAGCGGGCGTGTTCGTTGAAAGGAGAGACGGTTGGCATCTCCCCAGACAGGGACGGGAACAGCCTTCGGGCTTTTCGTTACCGATCACATGCGGTTGCTTTCCACTTCGGTGGATCTTTACCCAATTTTTTTCAATTTACATCCGCGCCTCTCAAATCCCAAGTGATTATATATGTATCTGAACTCCTTCGCATGTTCCAAAAGGTCGAGCAGATTCGTAAACTGGATTTCATTTTAGGATTTGACGCGTCACGAAAAAAATTTATAACATGGCATGAATGTGTGCAATAATTTTTTTGAATTCATGATCATAATAAATTTATAACAAGATAAATGTAACGAGATTTGTACATTTGAATTCGAGATAAGCTAATGTTTTCTAGATTAAGGGCCTGATTGGGCATCTTATTTGGTGCATAGAATACGTCTGGTTGTTTGAGTAAATTGCGTTTTGATAGTTTATGCGTTTTCAAAATGCAGAAAATAGACTTATCTAGGTGCGGTGAGAGCTTATTGGTAACGGTTTGACTTTTTCAAAATAAAAAATAAAAATTTGTATTAGTCACCGCACCTAGCTTATCAGCAGATTATTCAATAAGTTACAGCTACCTCCAAACAGACCCTAAAAGAAATGAAATAAATCGAGGAACATCTTATTAAGAAAAAGTAATAAGTTCATAAAAAAGATTGGTTGAGGAATAGACGGCCAATCCGTGAACAACAAATAGATATTCACACCAACAATAATATAAAAGTATTTTAACCCTAGTAATCTAGCCATTATCAACTTGAAATTCTCTCAACAACTCTGCAAAAAAATTTTCAAAGATCTTCAAAAAGAGCAATAAGCGAGCAGACCGGCCATCTTAGGGCCAATCTATTGTTTTTCTCAAAGTTGAATGGCTAAATTATGAATACAAAAAGTCACCATAAAAATAATAATGTCATGGAATGCCTCTCTATTGCTTTGCTTTTTCTAGTAATATTTAGTGATGTTAGTGGATGTTTATGTCTATGTTCATGTAATCTATGTGATTATTATATGATTTCGTGTGATATACAAAGTTTTTATATGATGAGCATGTCATTTAGCTAAAGTGTTTGCTTCTAGTCTTGTTATATCCGTTTCATGCTAGTATATTTTTAATGTCATGTGTTTCTTTTTCTTTTATTATATATCTATTTTATGTTCATTTCTCTTACTTATTCATTATTTGCATATATAGTGAAAAATAAGTTTGGGGCGAGATGTTATAACAATTTGTGCCATAAAATAAGAATAAATATCTAAATCTTAAACTTTCCTTACAAAATTAATATATTTAATTAGAATTTAGCAAGATTTAATAATAAGTAAAGAAAATAATTAAAAGTAACATGAATCTTCATTAAATATTAAAAATTCTTATTAACTCGTTAATAATTGACCTCTAACAACAATCAAACACTTACTAATATAAGGATCTTAAACGCCCAAAGTAAAAATTGACGACATAAAATTAATTCATCAAATATATAAAATTTAATAACTAAACAAATCAAATTATTTAATGTTAGTATCTCTTGAATTATATTCTTTTTAAGTTAAGTTATGAAGAAATGAGTAATTGGCTTTGGAAAAAAATTGTTAATTAAAATCATTAAAAGAAAGTTTAACCATATATAGTAATCCTCTGTGAAAATTATAAGAATAAGAAAAATAAAGGAAATAAAAATAACAAAGGCTCAAGTTTATAAGGAACAACAAGTTCAAGAGCCTAAGAGGAGAGGCTTGAGTTTAAGCTTATGTTCAAAAATTGGTACCAATCTCCACTTTCAAAGGTTAAAACTCAAAAGCATCCTTAACCTAAACTCCAAATATTGTATTTAAGATGATATTAACAAAATTTCTATTATTTGATTGATACGCCTAATTGAATTTTATATACATTTGAGAGTTCATATTATTTTAGTCGAGAAAATATAAGTTATTCAAGGATGCTCATACAAAAAGGATATTAATATAAGTAAAGTTGGGATAAAGAGAACTTTTAGTAAACTTCAATCTTAAGAAGATATTTGTGTACTTTAATTTTTCTATTTACTGCATTTTTAAGGAATTCGCCAATCATAAACTATAATTTTTCATGAATTCCAAAAAAAAATATAAAATTAGGTGTTGAATTACTTGAGTGCATGTAATATTTAAATCTAGAAAAAATTAATTTTCTTAAATGTGATATGATATTTTTATACTTTACATATTATTTGTGTCATTTTTATGCCTTTCTAGGATATATGTATTTAAATATGCAATATACATGTTGAAATTTACTTAAGAGGAGTATAAGGAGCCAAATTCAGGCTAAGTCCCAGCCGGACACCCGGGTGCCCATGCCCGACGCCTAGACGCCTGAACTAGATCTAGTATTTGTATAAAAAAAAAAAAAAAAAGTAAAGTTGGAAAGTATGCACTCTGTCTGGATAATAGATGTCTAACATAAAAAGTAGACACCCAAACCAGCGCTTAAGCTTCAATATTACAAGAAAAGATGTTATAATCGACAAAAAAACTGACAGTTTTGTACCCACAAAAAATATTATGTTAATTTTTAATGTCATAGCAACAGTAAATCAGCTAGATAATTTAATACGACATAACTACTGCCTATCTCGTCATTTGTTTGCAATACTAAATTCTGATATGTTTTTTGGATTTATCACTTTTTTATACTGTCGGTTCGACTCTTAATGTTAACCAACATACGAATTTCATCAGTTATTAACGAAACTGCATATTCTGAGGGAGAAACCGACGTATGTTTTTAATAAACGATGGATTTTAACTTCGGTTTAGTATAAACCGATGGCTATTATTTCGTTTATAAGCTAACACTAAATGACCTTATTATCAACTTTCTACTGAAAACTCTTATTTCCCTTTCTTCTTTCGTGCATCCCTGTCCCTGTTATGGTTTCACTCAAACCCCTCTTCCTCTCTTGTCCCTCTCCTGGTTTCACTAAAAACCCTAGCTTTTCTTCCTCCCTCGTCTCTCTCCTAGTTTGATCAAAAACCCTTGCTTTTACACTTCGTCCCTTTCCCGCTTTGGCCCAAAACAATCACCTTCTAGGGCGTCGATACAGTCGCTGGCTAATACGACAAATTAGGAAGAGAACGACGGGAGCTTGGCTCACAGAGACCACATTAACTCCTATCTTCCTCATCCTTCCTCAATGCTTCTACCAGAATCATTATGGAAATGTATGCCTCTTCGAGCCATTCATACTCTGTGTCCTAGACTTATTAAATCCATTGATTTAGAGGATTTAGTAAATCCCATATTTATCCCGAGTCTGCGTCGTTATGCGATTTACGAGAGCTCAAGATTTACAGAGCTATTTTTTTTCATTTGGCAAGATTTAGCCTAAATCATGCATAAATCATGCTTAAAACTAGCTCCTAAACACACCTAAGTGTTAGGTGGGTCTGTTTGGTTGCAAGTAGGATTTAATTTGAATATGAATTAATAAATCTTGTAAATTTGGATTTATCAAATCCTGAGACGATTAAATCCAGAAAACTACTTGGTATGTTAGTAAGTATTTATATAGTTTAATTACATGTTTTAAACATATAAAATATCTCTCGTTATTCATGATGTAATTTTTGCCAAAATGAATTTTTGAGCATATTTGGGCAAATAAACGTACTGTGCAAACGTAGTCTTTCATTATAATTGATTAGTATGTTTGTAAATATTCTTATAGTTTAATAGGGGCATTTACATACATATCACCAAATTCCAATATATTTGCCTACCTACCAAAAAAAATGAGGTGGGACCACCGAAATCTTTGATATCAAAACAAAAATCTTACTTGTTTAATATTGTAGTTTGTGTAAGAACACATACATCAGTGGAAAGTCGCATGTTCCATAAACTTAGCTTGAACTACGATAATCGCTCGAAAATTAATTCAAGATTTGGTTCGTACAGAAAACTCGGATCAAAACAGACACGCCGAGCAACGACCCAAAATTTTGGATAGAATTTTTTTTCAAGCCAACATCAGATCGGCCCAAAATCGGATCGTTAACATCCTAGTGATGTTAATCAAATATGAATTAACAAATAGTTTGAAATTAATATTTAGTTTTTTTTTTCGGTATTTTGTTGGATTTAAGTTGAATCCATTAAAACACATTTATCTAATATTGTATGTCACTGTAGCTACACCAACCATCTCACGTATATATGTATTTCATATGTTATCTACAAGTATAAAGTTAATCTTAAACCTAAGCATTGTCGGCTCCGCAACTTATAATTAGATCACTTTCACACATCTAAATATATTTCGAGAAGAAAATATTTCATATAATATAAAAGTGTTCATTTTATGACCAAATGAGCAATCTAATTTCTATTACAAAAATGAAAATTCACTGTTGATTTATATATCATCTGCACATATGAGGTAGTGTAGAAATCACAATGGATTGAATCATTGAAAAGCATTTAAGTTGGAAGTTATTATTATAAATGTTCGCCGAATTTGAAGATTTTATATAAATGCCCCTCAAGCAATCATTTATGATTATTTATGCTCCTTGATTTATTTCATACAACCATACTGGACAGCGCACCAGTACTCGTAGTCGTAAGGTCGTACCGCTGCAAACTGCTACCAGATTTAGCATTAAAGAAGTTGAAGATGTACAAACATACCACTTAATTTATGTATTTATATATGTAACAATTAAACTTTAATTTAATGAATGATACCTCGCATATTCATGGAAGGATGTGATGAGCCATCACCAAGTATCATGTATGATACAGATTTCGAGTCAAATTTCAATTAACAAATAATAAGAACTCTAATTTCAGCAAATTTATAATTTAAGTGTCCGGTTTGACGAGATAGACCAAATTATATCAAATTTGGTCAAACACAAATCAAATCAAGCTCAAATCAAGTCATTAAACTATTTTTAGAAGCTTTTTCAAGAATATTTAGAAGGTCAAATGAGTATTGAATTTTATAAGTTTATAGTCGAATTGAGCGTCTCGACAAGACAAATCCAACAAGTATAAAACAAAAAAATTTCAACATCATTAAGACACTCAAATGTTCATCAATCACTATATGATCAAATGAAACACTTGACTGTATGACGGAATTCTTCCCCACTCTTAAAAAGAAGGAGAGAGCTTGAGGTCTCAGGAAGAGCTTGAAGTTTTGAGAATAAGCTGAAGTCCATCATTACTCCTGTCACTGTTGACCACGCATCAGACCACCAATTGCCGACGGACACCCATTTATTTCGACAAGTTCATATGCGCATCGATGTTGTAACTCGAGAGACCTTGTAAGTATCTTTCATCTGTGGGACAAGTGATTGTAACTATAATCATTGTTTTAAGTAGGACTCTTTAGCTGGGTCAAAACTTCATATGTCACTACTAAATTTTTTATCTTCTGAGTGTGTGTTAAATTTTCGTACTACACTAAGACGATAATATATTACTCTCAAATCTTCTTGGACGCATCAGAGATGTATTTTATTTTTAAAAATAAAATTGGGGATACCTTTTAATGTGATATGAAAATTTTGGGTGGAATATGTAAAAAATAAATTTTTGAGTTAGATATATAAATACATATGTACGGAAATGCCTCTAAAGAATTTTAAAAGTATTAAATTTGTTTTGATGTTAATGAAATATATGAAAAAAATAATTACAATTTTAATGATATCATTTCAAAAAAAAAAAAAAGTAGCAAAATATTCACATTAATATTATGATGCATATAAATGGAGACAGAATTTATTTTTCGTGTCAATTGTATGTGATGTAATTTCCATCACAAAGAGATGGCAAAAAAGGCCTGGCAACTTATATAATGTATCATATATCTTGATCATAAGTATAAGACATATGGTATTTTAGGGGGCAATGGCCGACATTTTACTGTCAAATCATTTGCTTATAATGATGAATATGAATTCAGGCTTCGCCAACTTTAGAAATTTTATATATATATA